TTGAAGATCTGGTCCATGCCATTACCTTGGGATTCTTCTCCTTCCTGTATGCCTAAGATTTGTAAATTTGGTCTTTTTATGGTATCACACAATTCCTGAATATTCATTCCGGTGATTTCTTAAATTTTTCATAATCTTTGCTTGAGTGGTCTAGTTTGTCCACTTTGTCTTCCAGTCTTGATATTCTGTTTTCCATTTTGTTCATCCTACTGGTGAGGCTTTCTCCTGTTGTTTCTAATTTGCAGAGCTAGAAGTCTTTTTTATGAAAAGGTAGTATAGCTCAAAGGGAGGAAGAGTCAAGGGCAGGATTAAAAGTCACTGAGAATCATGCTCAAGACATGGCTAGATCTTAATAATGATTAAAAAAAAATCCATGAACATGTTTCTTCTGGAATTTTGAACTGCAATAAACAAATGACCACTAGGAGCATCTGCATTTCTTCCCACTTGTGAATGGGATTTCTATTGCAGTTTCCTGTGTTGTCACACCCCACATGATATAGAAGCAAATAATTTGTATTGTTACTCAAATCCTCAGATTCAAAAGAAGGAACACCTGAGTGGTTTTAGCATATATAGGGCTTTATTGAATATCATGATCTTAGATTTCAGCTTAGGTATAAATCTTGATTAAGGATTAAACAAACCTCAGTGTAGGGATGAAGTCTAACCTGCTGCCACATTTGTACTAGAACCCAGTCACATCCATTTACTTTTGTACTACCATGACAGAAGTGAGTAGTTTTGACAAATTAATTGCTGACAAAACCAAAAGTGTTTACTATCTATTATTTACGGACAAAATTCACCAATCCTCACCTTAATGAGAGGGAAAGGGGATGTTAAGAAATGAGTAGGCTTGGGCACAGGGAACTGTTTAATGAATTAAATGTAGCTGCAAATTCTTTCTCACTTTCACCACTGAGAGTTAGTTTACTCTTCCTTCTCTTAATCTTAAATCTGCACTGATCCTTTAAGCACAAGCACAAAGAGATAGCAGAAGTGATGCTATAACAATTTAGAGCATTAACCTTTAAGAAAGCAATGAAGCTTCCCACTTCTAGGGAGCTCTAAACTACTAGGTATAACAGTTTGGCTACCCCAATGGAAAGATTACATGGATAGGAGATATCTGGAGACTACAATGCAAAAGGAGAAAAGGAGTAATTTCTAAAAAATAAAAAAACAAAACAATGAAAAAACCCCTCCAATATATCCACAAACATTAAATATGTATACAACTATTTTAATCAATTACTTAGGATCAATGTACCCTACAGTAGACCCCAACCCTCAAACTCCATATGACTATAACTACAGAATCTTAAGCAATACTAGCAGAATTACCTGACTAGATTAGTCAACTGTAACTTATGATCATTTGTTGCACAGCAAAACAAAACTAAAACAGATTTTCTAACACCTTATTAACAGGGTACATAAAATTTATCCTTCCTAAAATGAGGTTTTACACAGTATACTAGAAAATAACTGAAGCCGGGCATAGTGACACATCTTGTAATCATACTACTTGGAAACTGAGGCTAGAGGTTTGTGGATTCTAGGTCAGCCTGGGCTACATAGTAAAACCCTGTGAAAGGCAGGGAGGGAGGGAAGCAAAGAAGGAAGAGAAAAAGAGGAAAGGAGGGAAGCCTAAGAAGGTTCTGACAGTTAATAATAGGTTAGCTTTCAAGGTCACTTTATTTTTCAAGTTCCTTATTCATACATAAGATTACTGCTTACAAATATTTAATTCTGAATTTTATAAATGTGACAACTAAATACTAATGAAAAGACAAATGTTTCTAAGCACTGTCCCAGTTTTAGAGTCTAAGATACTTCAGCTGATAAGGCAATAGAGGAGGAAAATAGAGCCATCAGCATCACCTACAGGCAGATACAGAACTGGAAGATTAATACAGGTTAAATATTCCTTATTCAAAATTATTGGGGCCATGAGTTTTGGAGGTTTTGTTTCTGTTCATTTTCTTTTGTTTTGTTTATGACAAGATTACATTATGCTGTTGAGGCTGGCCTCAAAGTCCTGGGCAAAAAGGATACTCTTGCTTCAGCCTCCAAACAACTTGAGACTATAAGTGTGTGCCACTAGGCCAAACTCAGATTCTGTGTGTTCCTAGGTTTTAAAATATTTGCAGAGACTTTACCAGCTGGTCATTCCTAATACAAATATCTAAAACTTACTACTAGTAAGTTGATAGCCACTCAACCTCAATTTTGTTACATATTGATGGACTGTATTATATTCTCACTATATCAGAAGATTAATATCCTAAAATTAAGTTACTATACTGTACTTTCTAGAACAGCAATATATAACAGATAAGAAATTAATCTAGAAAAAGGTATACTTTACCTTACCTTTGGAAAACACATCTATATCTTATTAGTCTTAGTACAACTAAACAAAAATCTTACCAGAGCTTTTCTATGTTTATAGATGAAATCTTCAGCTGACTTAGCCCATTTAGGGAGAACGACGTCATTTACTAGTTCTTTGGAAACTTGTAGGCGACCCAAATTAAATTCTAAGGCACAAAAAAAAAGTATCAAAGCACTTTAGATATAAATAAGGGAAGTAAAGCAAATACAAATGAGGGTAAATCACCAACCAAAACACATGAGGTTTTATCTATTTTTTTTGGGGGGGGGTCTATTTTGAGATAGGGTCTCCCTGTAGTCCCAGCTCATCTGGAACACACTATGTAGACCAGGATGGCCTTGAGTTCACAGAGATCTGCCTGCCACAGCCTCCCCAGTGCTGGGATTAAAGGTGCATACCACCATGTCTGGCTTTTTCTTATAGTAGACTATATAATATTCATTAATTAAAACATACAAAATAATTTTAAATTAATTTTTAGATGGTTTATCAGAGTAAGAGTTATTTTTCTTAGGAAAGTGGGGGAAGGGAGATAGAGAGATGTCTCAGTAAGTAAAATGCTCACTACTCAGGTATGAAGACTTGAATTTGGATCTCCAGCATTTATGGAAAAACCAGGTACAGTGGAGCACAGCAGAACTAGGGATGGATACAGGGGGATCCCAGAGGCTTGTAGGCCAGTCAGTCTAGCCTAAACAGTGGGCTCCAGGTTCAGTAAGAGGCCCTTTCTCAAAAAGTAAAGTGACGAGTGATTAAGGAAATCGAACTCTGGTCTCCACATGTAAGTGCATGGGCATGGGTACCTGCATACATATGCTTACACACCATATACACAAAGAAAAAAAGGAAAGGAGGAGGGAAGAGGGATGGGACAGGTTGGGAAAGGGACAGGAAAGGGAAGGGAAAAGGCAGGGAAAGGGAAAGGGTAAGAAAAGAGAAGGGAAAGGGAAGGAAAAAGAAAGGTGGGGGCACTAAAACTCTCACCTTAATTAGAAAAAAAATATTAGTTTTACACTAAAAATGAGTAACAGTCTCTTTAATGGTTAATTCACAAAATATAGCTCACAAAATATAGCTCATTAGAATTTTAGGCTGTAATTTATACCTTAAACTTACTAATCGAAAGAGTTTTGTTTTAATGAAATAATACACTATATGCCATTATTTCAAAAAGATGCTTACCTAATAAAGACTATGACATTTGACAGAACTTTCCCAAGTATGAAGTTTTCTTAGTGATACAATGTGGGAGGAAAAGTGTTAACAGAAAAGACCTTCAAAAAAGAAGATCTTAAAACATCCCCCTTAAAATTTCATTTGAGCATTCATTTGCCCTATATTTCATGCCCATCCATTTTACAAGTTGGCATATGATGCAGTTCTAGAGAATGAAGTTAAAAGAAATAGCTTTTTTTTATATTTAAGAAATGACACAATGAATGGATTCGTGTCCCATTCTTTGTAAGATGCTACTGTTTCTACCTACCATGTTTTAAAGCTGTTTCTATCATTTGTTTACAGGAGAGGAATTAGCCACAAAGCCAAAATACTTAGAATGACAGAAGGAAAATATAGAAAGAAATTGGCCACAATGATATTGCACAACATGAAACTATTCTAGGTTTTTGCTACTAAAAACACTAAAATTTCATTGTGCAATTTTTAATTGGTTTTATTACTATTTGTTTCTATTCCAATTCATATTAATTTCTCCCATCATAGCTCATCAAGCAATTAGAAAATTATAGTTAGGTACAGAGGTAATGAGGACATAGTTTGAGGACAGCAATCAGCTCTGATAAATATCATGAAATGTCAAGCAAAGAGTACCTTAAGTTTTTCCATCCAAATTCAGCATGTATACATGTATACCCCTATTCCAGATACCCTGGTTTTTAGTAAAGTCTAGTCCAATGGCTGATTGACAGTTTACTTATATGTACCTCAAAAATCTTGTCAATTTTTATGATTCAAAATGTAGGGCTAGGGATACAATTTAATGGTAGAGTGCCTACTATGTGCAAGACACTAGATTTAATCCCATTATCACAAAAATAAATAAATGTAAAACTACATTACACAAAATTATTTTGATATTTTAAAGACTATTTAGCATAATGCATCTCTACTTCAAAAACATAATTTTCAGTTGGGCGAGGTAATGCATTCCTTTAATCTCAGAACTTGGGAGGCAGAGGGCAGGTTGATATCTGTAACACAGAGGTCTACATAATGAGTTTCAGGCCAGCTGCCTCAAAAACCACCAAAACAAACAAACAACAAAAAAAGAAAACCACCAAAACAATGACAAAAAAAACACAGAACAAAACATAATTTTCAAATAGTTCAATGATTTAGTCACTATTTTAAATTTGTTTCCTTTTGTATTGACCAAACCAGGAATCATCAAATATTTTCTATGAAAGGTAATGGAATAAGTACTTTTTTTTTTTTTTTTTTTTTTTTTTGTCTTTTTGAGACAGGGTCTCCCTATAGTCCGAGCTGTCCTGGAACTCAATATGTAGACCAGGCTGGCCTTGAACTCACAGAGATTCACCTGCCTCTGCCTCCCGAGTGCTGGGACTACAGGCATATGCCACCACGCCCGGCTCAGAATAAGTACTTTTATCTTTCTGAGTGATGTGGCCTTTTGTTACTATTTAAGTCTGCCATTAATTTCTGAAAATAGTCATACATAAAAGATACAGAAATACATTGGCCAATGAATTGCAAAGAAACTTTAATTATAAAAACATCAGTTTGCTCATAGATTTGGTCCACTGACATATAGACTGCTGCCCTTGGTCTAATTTCTCACCTTATCCATTTCAAAGATTTTTAATAGCAGCATATGGCCATTTTTATTTCTCTACTAAACACTGTACTCTGATAAATTTTCTTATGAGTTCATATTTGATTCATCTTGGTTCCCTATGTCACTTTCCTTGGTATCAGTTAAATCCTGTCAGTGAGTAATCTACACACAGAATGAACTTTAAATAAACCTAGCAACATTACAAAAAATGTTCTGAAAGGTACTAATTGTTTAATTCCCTGTTTCTTACGATTCTGATTTTCCAAAAACTCTGGGAAATAGAAGAATTCAGGAATAAGCTCCTTCACATCATATGTATTGTCCACAAGAGCTTGCCAGGTAGCCGGGATGGAATGGAACTGTCGATCTGCGCAGTCAAACCTGCATATGCAAATGAAAAGAGAACAGTTGACTGAAAGCAATGAGATACAAAACTTTTAAACTCCCTAGGGTTTCCACATGATTACACCTGCTCTTTCTTAATCTTCCTCCTTAATATCTGAAAATTTTCTCTCTTTATTATAATAAATAAATTTTCTCTCTTTATTATAATAATCTATCATTCATACTTTGTTGTCAGGAGTTAAATACTACCATCTTAATTGCTAGTTAAAATAGTTGAAAATCAAACACTAGAAAACAATTTCAAGTAAATATAATCAACAGTTGGGTTGTTTTGTTTTGTTTTAAAGGCCAGGGCTTGGATATGTAGGTCATTGGTAGATGGCTTCTCCTGAATGTTCAAGGCCTCTAAGCTCTCCCAAATATCAAAAAAAGTAAATGTTAGTTGGATTTTTGGAAGTCTGAATTTAAAATGGGCATAGTGGCTAATGCCCTAAAATCCCAGAACTTGAAGTAATGAGGGAGGATTGCTGCAAAGTACAAGGCCAGCCTGGTGTACATAGTGAGTATATAGAAACTTAGCTAACAGGCTTATAGGAATGCTTCCAAGTTAATCCTCAATTACATTATCAATATGAACTCTTCTCAAAGCCAGACTGTAAGTTAGGGAAACAGTACTGTGGCTAAGCTTTTATATTTTATTTACATATACCATTAGCTTATTTTAATTTAATTTAATTTTATTATTATTATTATTTTTTTTTTTTTTTTTGAGACAAGGTCTCTTACTGAACCCAGATCTCACCAACTGGCTAAACTGGCTGGTTAGTGAGCTCTGGGCATCAGCTTGTCTTTGTCCCATTAGCCTTTCTTTTCACATGGGTGCTGGAGATCTGAGCTTAGGCCCTCATATTTTCTCAGCTTCTTAATTTTTAATTGGGTGATTTAGGTTGCAAGCCTACAGTAGGTGGAAGAAGCTCAAGTGATAATGCATCCATTGTATTATGCTTTCCTTAATCACAAAAAGCATAAACTCCTGGTTTTTTTTCTTATTGATGGCGTGTTCCTGAAAAAATAAAGCAATGGGCTATGGTCTGTAAAGGTGTGGCCATGATACAAAGAATAAAGTGACACTAATGACCACTTTGACTTTGTTTATTAGACAGAATCTCATGTAATCCAGACTGACCTTGAACTCGCCATGTGGCAGAGGATAACCTTGAGCTCCTGATCCTCCTGACTCTACCTCCCAAATGCTGGGATTACTGGAGTGCACCTCCACATCTAGTTCATGCAGTGCTAGGGATTGAACTCATGTATGTGAGACAAGCACTCTACAGATTGAGCTATACCCAGTCCCTAATTTTACTGTTTAAAATGTCTACTAATCTTGGTTTCATCCACTTGTTAATTCACAGCAATGCTGCTACAAATATTTGTATAAAAGTTTTCGAGTGACTAGATGACTTCAATAATGTTGGGTATACATTTAGGAGTAGAACTGCTAGGTCATAATAATTTAATGTTTAACCTTCTGAAGGCCTACCAGACTATTTTCCATAAGACTACTATTTTATAATCCTACCATCACTATGTAAGAGTTCTAATTTCTCATCATGTTCAGCAACAGTAGGTTTTATCTACTTTTTTGACTATAGATGATTGATGGTCTCTCACTGTGGTTACAACCTGAATTTCTCTGATGGTTAATATTTATCAGACACCCATGTTTTCTTTAGAGAAATATCTATTCAGATACTTTGTCCGTTTATTTATTTATTTTTAATTTACGTGTTATGACTATTTTGCCTACATGTATGTAAGTATACCTGTGCTGTCCAATGCCCATGGAGGCTAGAAGAGAGACACGAAATCCACTGGAAACAGATGTTAGTCACCATGTGGGTGCTGGGAACCAAACTCAGATCCTCTCGTAGAGTAGCCAGTGCTGCTCTTAACCACTAAGCTACCTCTCCAGCCCCATTCTGTCCATATTTAAACTAGGTTTTTTTTATTATTTTCTTGTAAGGATTCTCAATATTTTTTAAATTAAAGTCCTTTATCAAATTTTCCTAACAACTTGCACTTAAAAAAAAAACCTTTTATGTGTATGAGTGTTTTGCTGCATGTATGTAAGTGCACCCATGTCATGCAATGTCCGCAGAGGCCAGAAGAGGGTGTTGGATCCCCCTGGAACTGGAGTTACAGATGGCTGTTAGCCATGTGGGTGCTGAAAATCAAACCCAGGTCCTCTGCAAGAGCAGCCAGTGCTCTTAACTGTTGAGCCATCTCTCCAACCTCATTCGCAGTTTCCTGATGGTATCTTATAAAGTGCAAACAGAATTCATTAAAAATTTTTGTAAACAGCATTTCTTTATAAAATTATTAAAAGTTGAAAATACCTAATCATAATTTATTGCATCTTATGAAGGGGAAATTACCTGCTGTCATGGTCAATGTAACAATTTATTGATGTTTAGGGATCTTAAGGACAGTCTCTTCTTGAAAACCAAGGTTTATTGTTTGATCAGGAAAAAGGATACAGGCTAACTATGAAAGACTGAAGCTACATGGAAAGGAAACAGATAAGGCAATATTTATACAGCTGTTGACTGAGCAGAGAAAGCAAAGTGGTACTGCTAAGGACTAAGGCAACATGGAGAAAAAAATGAACATCAGGTAACTATCTGAAGTACACTGACAGGGAAGGATTTATGTAGTTTACTTAGAGTAGGAAAATGTATAACATGGGCTAATTATAATACTCAAGATAATATTGCTACAGTATTATCAAAAACCTGTTTAAGTGGCTGCTATAGGTATCTCCTCTATATCTATTCTTAATAAATATTTGTAGATTATATAGGCATTGCTGAAATTTGACTATCTGTAGATAGCTTAGATTTAGCTATAAGTCACATCTAATTCTGTAACTTTTTTGTGGAGGGTAAGGAGCTGGTACTGAGAATTGAACCTAGGACTCTGCATATGTTGGACAAGTGTTCAGCCACTGGGCTACATTTTGTCTGATGTCATAACTATAAATCTCTTTTGAGTTTCTCAAAATGCTAGGAATTTCAAAGACACACTATGGTAACAGTGAAGGAAATTCTCCTTGAATGTCTCATATCTAAATCAACTTGAATGACTTATTTTCAAACTACTTTGGCTATTTTTATCTAAATTAAAACCTAGTAGAGAATAATATAAAAGACATAGCTTTAACCATATAGCATATGAGAACACAACATTAGCATATAACATAGTTTCCAAAATTAACATCATAAGAAAATAGTGTATTTACACATACCTTCCACTCTGAAGCTGGATGTGGAGGGTAGTGAAAGGTTCTACACGGATAAGATAGTGCATTATGCCTGCAGAATTGGAATAGTGAGTACCATAATGAAACTTATCAATTGTCCCCATAGGATCCTCAAAATTTTCATACCTAAAAAAAGAAAGCAGAGTTTTATGACTGTAATTGTACAAGTTACAAAAGGGAGTCTAGGGCTGGAGAGAGGGCTCAGCGGTTGAGAACACTGAATGTTCTTGCAGAAGACCCAGGTTCAGATCCCAGCACCCACATGGCAGCTGAGAGCTGTCCATAACTCCAGTCCTAGGGGATCTGACAGCCCCTTCTGACCTCCGCAGGCATTGCATGACATGGTGCACTTCTATACATGCAGGCAATACACACATACACATAAAATAAGTAAATAAAGTATTAAAAAAAAAACAAAAGGGAGTCTAAGTTTATACTGTCTGGCTTAAAACACAGTAATTAAAAAAAAACTCAGTCCTTTTTCAAATGCTTCACTATTAAATATGTATTTGCATCCCCAAATATAATTATAGGAAAAATATATTTATTTATGAGACTGTTTCCAAGCAATCAAGTATTACTACAAGATTGTGATGCAGGGCTGGAGAGATGGCTCAGCAGTTAAGAACACTGACTGTTCTTGCAGAAATCCCGGGTTTGAATCCCAGCACCCACATGGCAGCTAACAACTGTC